CCGACAGTGGTCTTCTAATAGGGGATCGTCTTCTATTATGGGGGGGGTGGGGGGTTAGGTCGCATGTTCGAATCTCCGTAAGTACATCTTCAATACTTGTCTTTCTTTCATGTCAGTTAAGCTCTTCTACTCTCCTTTTCATCTCTAGTAACCAAAATTTAGTTCAACAAAAAAAAAACTTTTTGAGAAAAACAATTAAATTTAAGAACTTTAACAAAACGCGTTCAGACGCGGCTAGACGTGTTTTACACAGACGCGTCCAGATAGCGTCAAATGGTGCGTATTCGCACTACCTCGACGCGTCTAGATGAAACGCGTTTACCCAAGCGTCAAAAAAAAATCTAGTATCGCCCTATTCATTTAGATTACTAGATTTTTACTCGATTGCAACTACTGTGTAACGACAGTGGAAATCTAGTAACAGGACGATTACTAGATTTTTTTCTGGTTGCAACTTTCGATTTATCGCCCGATAATCGATTGATTTAACTGTTGCTAGATGTACATGCAGACGCATCTAGTTAAAAGTCTCTTTTCCAACTAGTAATCTAGATGGCAACTAGTCGTGTATCGCTCGATTATAGAAGGAATGTATCTAGATTTTTCTCATAGGTAATATTTGCGTGGGTAGACGCATCAGCATAAGACGCGTCCAGATAGCGTCAAATGGTGCATATTTGCACCGTTTTCTGATGTGCGTAGCAGTGATGCTGCACATAGTTAACACTTTTGCTTATCTTTTTCGTAATTTCAGGTGATGAATCCGTCTGTGACGATCAGTTACAGGCGATAAATGAAGCCGACGAATTAGAAAAAGAAGGAGTAGCTACAGGAACTCATGATAGTGTTATATTAGTTGGCGATGAAACAGGAGACGGTCGATTAGATTCGAATCGTGGACCTGAAACGTTTTCTGGAAATCCATCAACTTCAAATAGTTTTGCAAAAGTTAATATTCAATCATGTCAAACTCCACGTTCATCGCAACAGAAACTAACAGAACGACAGGGTGCTAATAAAGAAAATCATAGTTCTCAATTGAAAGCAGCTGATGAAATTCAAGCTGAAATTCCAAAACAAAAACAAACACTGAAGGAACAAAATTTACGAATTGAATTTGATAGAAACAAACGAAAAACTTCAAGAGACAGCAGCGAGCAACATGATCAGTCGATGATAACACCCCCAAAACTTATACGTACAGGTAAAACTTTGAAGATTTATAGGATAGTTGGAATTCTAGCTGTTGCTCTGTCTTTTTTAACAAAAATCTGGACGGTATCGCCTCGATAGTTCTTTAGCAAAGTTTTCGACAATTAAGATTATGTTAATAAGCCTAAGACGTCGAATTAAGTTAAGATCTGTCGCTTCGAAATGAACTAATAAAGAATTTGTGTAATATAAAGTCTAATATTCCCTTCTTTGCTGCCTGAGTAAACATTTCAAGATCTATCCGTTGTTTCTAATGTAGTTTCAGACGATGAGGATGATCCTGGTCAGGAAATTGTATTATTAAAATATTACAAGGTATTATAACGAAAATATGAGAAACTACAGTTAGAACAGGAACGACTGAAACAAAATTACAAGCGATTAAAACAAAGTACAATTCGTGAGTAGCTTATGTAGAATTTTCAGAAGTTAATTGCATTATTATTTTATTTCATTTAGCAAAGCCGGACGAACATGGTCATAAATATTTAATTAGTATTGCTGAATGCTTTAAATCAGAAAGGGTGATGAAGAAGAATATGAACGATTGCAGAAGCTTTGGGAATAGCAACAGCACGGTTGCTACTTTGTGTTCGTTCATCAATGACAAAATCGGCCAGAGAAATTGCCAAAATCGTTTTAACTCCTGAAGATATTGCAGCATATAAGAATAAAGACGATATTAGTTTTGGAATCCGAGGAGCAATACATGGTGTGTAAATAGTTTATTTCACTCGATGCGAAAATGTTTTCAAAAAGAGCTTCTGTGGTGAACTCTGAGGAAGCTTTTCGGTTAATTTCTAATTTTAACGAAATGTTCTGCTTTGTGTTTTAGCATTCGTACGAAAGTGCCATTCCGCTGAAGTGTGCAGTGATCGTCAGCTGAATGAAGCAATTAGAAGTGCAATCAGCAATGAGAAAGAAAAAATGAATCCAAAACGAGTAGAAACAAATTAGTACAATGGACAGTTGGGATTCATTGGTGGTTAAGTACAGTTAGATGTTAAGCAATTTATTTTTTTTTGTCACCTATGATCTGTATTAATGCATTAGAAGAAAAAAGAAATAGAACGAGAATAGGTATTTTTGTTTATTTATTTACTTAGCGACATCATACCTCTTTAGAAATTGTTGCCTCTAACTCCAGAATTATGTGTAAAAGTTAGGGCTGAGCACGTGGCTTCGCAACTTTCTTTTTCGCTAAAAATTATTTTTATAAGTTTTAGATTTACTTAACTAAAAATGATCTATAGATGGGCTTTGTGGAGGAAACGAAAAAAGTAGCAGAGATTGAGTTTTAAACGAATATATTCAGAATAAAATGCCAGCAACGGATTCAAGCAACCGATAGATTCGACCTGTGAAGAATCTGAAACCGGCGACACTTCAACACTTTTCCAATCAGTCAATGAATCACGATCGATTCACCATTCTGATATTAATTTAAATGATCATGAAAACGCTTTGAATGAAGATTACATTGAAAATTTACATTCTGACGAAGAAGATTTTAGAAATAAAAAAATGTAAGTGAGGTTTCATAAGTGTGCAGCTTTATCCTTTCGATTTATCAATTAACTTATGCCTATTTAGGAAATTCACACTGCCTCCATCCATATTTAAAATATGTATTGCCATAATCATGGTAAAAGTCAAGCACAAACTATCTATCAGTTGTATTGATAATTGGTGTAAATTACTTAAAGTCTTCAAAGTCGAAAACGCACCAACTTCGTATTCACAAATTAAACGTCTTTTGCACGACAATTCTTAATGGTAATAGTACACGGTTGGAAAAAATATTATTCCAGGGGGGTAACACCATCATTTTAAATAGAGTAGATGATGAATTTTATACTAAATGAAAGCCCGTGAAAAACGGGATTTATTAATACTAAATAGTAAGGGCTATGAAGACCTTAGTGTATTAAACTCTCGAAGTTTATATAATTCTGTAAAATAGAAAAGTTATAATCTGTTTTTATCGACTTGAAAGACCAAAAAAAAAGAAAGTTTCTTAGAAAAAATTAAAGAGGCTATGTTGTAGTGGTCATACAGCGCAGCCTCGACTGAAAGGATATTATTATCTGTTCGCGTTCTGCTATCGATGCCTCGTGGTAGAGATTA